CCCCAAAACCCCAAAACCCCAAAACCCCAAAACCCCGGAGGGTTAAAAATAATTTGAATTAATAAAAATGTTATTATTGTGTTTTTTGGGTACTCGTCAGGGAAAGTATGATTGATTTTAGGATATATAAGAAGTCTTTCTGATTTGTATCTCTTACTATGAATGTATAGCTGTTGTATTATCTCTCTGAATTCTTCTATTGTGTAGACTAGAGTATAAAGCTCAAAGCCCTACCTCCCCGTTGAAAGATTTTATTCATAGGATTCCTGACATTGTATGCTATTTGCCCTTTACCTTACAAGCCAGAATTATCTCTTTCGTACAAGGTTGTTTTATCAAACTTGGTTTCCTTGCATGACTCGACTATGGAGTAAATCAAGAATGAGAAAATAGTCAACCAATTCATTATCAAGAACATATAATAACTTCATTTTCTTTCTAAATTTGCAATTATTCCCGAATAAAGAATAGTGTTAGTCACTAAAAACTCTATATTAGACAAGAGTCTTGCAAACTTCAAACATTGACTCAGAATCAAGGTGTACACTGTTCTGGAGTATTCGAATCCCAATAAAATTTGGTAACGATGAAAGTTAATATTAATAGCAATTCGTAACCTTTTAAGCTAGCCCTTGCTAACACAAAGGAATTTATGAAAGAAATTTTAGGAAGTTTGACTGAAGAAGAAGAAAATTTTAAAGAAATTTTTGGGGTTCTGTAAGATTTAGCAAGATTATGGGTTTTATTCATTTTGGCTATTTAGCTGAATAATCTTGAGTTTATATGGGGTAATTGTTCTGGCAAGGTGGGATTTGTATTGAGAGGGACTCTGTTAGAAATGTCAGGGGCTCGTACAATTCTGATTTCATCAGTTTGAGGGTGGGATTGTTGGATTCTTCTTCTGAACTCTTGGATAGAAAAACCTAGGTGTGAGATTATAGGTTACCTGGTCTCTGGAATCCTCTTCTGATTGGGTCTAAGACATTGTAAGTCATAGGAGCTATATTTAAGGAATCTAAGTTACCTCCCTGATCTAAAATTTCCTTGTTAAATTTCTTTCCTTTGCATGATTTTATTCCAGAATATATTAGAAAAGGGAAAATAATGAACCAGTTCATCAGGAAGAACACTATGATAACTCCAATGCACGCCCATCCAATTCGAGTTATTGCATTTGAATCACTTGTTTCAATGAAGAGGTACAGGAGGCAAGTGAAAAGTACTAAAATGCATTCATTGCACACATTTAGAACATTGTTGATTTGAGACACATATGGTTTTTCCAACACTCAGTAATAAAGCTGCCATGTGAACATGAACATTCACAAAACCAGCTGCTTCTTCGGGTCTTCTTTCATGCACACGATGACAAATGCAAACAACATTCTCCTAATCATGAAGAATCCAAAGTAGAGAAGTTGTTTGACTTTCTGCTTTTTGAAATCAACAAAAAACAGGCAATGCCTTTCGTGGGTGACAGGGTTCACTATGAACAGTCAGACCAAACACTTACTCTTAATGTCATCAAAATGGTAGACTGGGTAATAGATTCCATAGACAGTCAATAGGAACATTCCAAGCAAAGTCACGCTCGATACTACAAATGCAAGGATTTCTTCAGTGTTCGAAACACTTCCATACCAAATATTGATCCAGCAAGCAACAGAGAGATTGAGAATTAGTTCAACAACAAACCTGGTAAAGGACTCATATCTGATAGATTTGTCAATTTTCTTGATTCATCTTGCGGTTCTGGACTCACTTTTGTGGATTCACTTGTAAAGGAAGCTTAATATCAATGCGAGAAAAATGAATAGTCAAATCATTCCGATCTTGTCAAAGCTGTTGACCAAGATATTGGTTGACTCGAACCCAAGGCTTTCAAATTTTGGACTGACAGGAGATTTTATGAAATTCATTCCGAAGAATACTACTGATGTGACATATTTAGTAAATGGGGTTTCAAAGTTGGAGTAAGCCATTATTTTGAACGTGTTTTCAAGATCTGATGGATAATCCAACTCAATCAAACCCATGAAGAACAGAATCTGTAGAGTGTTGGCCAGACTCCACATTGTTTCAGAAGATCCGCCAGTCAGCATTCCCACTCCAAGTGATATTCCAATGGTGAATAAAAATGTGTATGATGCACCTTTACCTGAGCTTTCAGCAGATCCACTGACCGGAAATGCTGGAACAGCATATGTAAAAGCAACAGCTGAAAGCATTGGGATGCTGTTATTGGACTTGAACATTTCAACTTCTTGTAAAGTCAGTGTGATGATTTCACCAATTCCTCCTATTAAAGGCGGTGATGGTGTAAATGTGGCAATAAACTTCTTTCCTAAAGGCAAGGTTACCAATTTTTGAACAACTCAATTTTAATTAGATTTACCTTCAAATTTAGTTTCAAGTGTGAAATAAATTTCGGTAGTTGGGCTTTCTATGAACAACAGCACACTTGTGTCATTGATTTCTTGATTCATCATCTCTTGATCAAACTCAATAGTAATTGTGTTTGTCATTTGATCAAATTTATCAGAGACAATGGCTGGCCTCGTGAATTCAGTAATTCATTTATCAGCTTTACCAACCTCCTGAATGCAAATATAATTAGGCTCAATGATACAATCTTTAGAACATCCATCAAAATCCAAGTTGTTCCCATCATCACATGTCTCATCATTATCTGGATTGACCTCTGAATTTCCTCAAATAGGAGTGCAATACGAAGGTTGACCAGGTATTTGCTCTCAAATATGCTTTGAAGTGACAGTACAGTTGCTCTCACAGCCATCTCCACTACCATAGTTGCCGTCATCACATACTTCAGTGTCTGTATCAAGAATTCCATTTCCACAAATTAATTGACAGTAGGATCTATCACCCATTGTCTTATCGACCACTCACACATACTTGTCTTCAACTGTACATTGCTTTGATCATCCATCACCATTATCTAAATTCCCATCATCTCACTCCAACATTCTTGGAGCTAGCTGTACTACTCCATCTCCTCATTGGTCAATACAGTGGAAGTACTCTTCTCTAAACCCTTCAGAACAGTACTCATGCTTCTCTTCAGTCAAGTCCATGCAGAGCTCAGGCTGGTCGGTGAAGTAAGTCTATAAGATCACGAAGAAAAGTACCAGACAAGGGTTGGTAGAATTAGAGATTGTTGCAGTCTCTGAGAAGAACTTTTGGAGATAAAGTTCCGGCTGATAGTCGTATCCAGCATTACCAGTCTCTTCATAAGGTTCATAATGTTCACAAGTGTCAGTATTAATTGCCCATGGGTAATACTTCAGATTCCTAAAGATGCCCTATAGGATATGAGGGAGGCTTACTTGAAGACCCTTGATCCTGATAGACATGGTATTAGTTGTAGTGGAGACTGAAGCCAGGGCTTTAGCCCCAGCACCATCGATGGTGGCCGGATCTAACGAACAGGTTTTGGCAGAATCTAGAGCAAAGTCAGTGGCCTAGAGGGGAAATGAACTGAGCAGTAGGGGGACTTTGAAATCTGAAGGCACTTACTGTCAGCTTGGTCTCTGAGGATCTGGTGATCCATGGAAAGAGTTATTTTGCCATTATCTTCGTCATAGGTATATGAGTACATTACCTAGGAGTTAATTTGGGAGTACTTTAGTCCATTTAGCTGCATCTAGAGAAGGCATTGGGATGATTGTATCTTTGGAGCCAGCTTGTATTTTATGGTGATAGTTTGTCCTACATTTGGTGAGAATATCTCTTACCAGTATTGTTCAAATTGATTATTTTCATCAAACCATGGATACATCCAGAAGACTGTGTTGTGTTCAAACTTGAGAAACTCGAACTCAATTGTGAACTGCATGGCACTATTGAATGGGAATGGCTCTGTCATCATCAAGCTGTCTCTATAAAGACTCACCCATCCATTATTTGTTGGATAAACCACTCTGGTATTATCAGCATTGTAGAAAATGAAATCGGCTGAACCTATGTCTTTCTGAATCTTTTCGTATGAGATTACTTTGTACTCCTCATAGCTGTTGTATTCATCATTAAGTGGCCAATAGTATTGATAAAGCTAAAAGATGAGCACTTTTCATACTTTAGCAGAATTATCGATAAGAGTATCTCTATAATATGACTTCGACTCAGTACCGTGTTAATGTATCTGAGTTTCCACAGAAGCTAACAGTGTCACAAATGCTAAGTCTATTGATCATCCCAGTGAAAGGAGTTGAACCGACAGTACTTTTGACTTGGCCTAATAAAGGCTGCATGTGACGAAGGTCAGGTGCTGCCCAGGTTGGTTCAAATGTCGCTGCCATAAATTCTCCATTTGGACCTGCAGTGGCATCTACAATAAATTAGAAACATTCTTTAGAATCTGGTCCATGAAAGTTTATCAAGATTAGTTATGGTATGCCTGACCCATTTTTATAGGAATTTATTATCAAACCAAATCTTACTGAAGTAGAAACGGTATAAATTATAAACACCAACCCCGTGGGTTACTGAAAATTTGAATGCATGCCATCCACTCAGTTTCGACCCTATATCAAAGTTAGCTTCATTTTTTAATGATAAATTAAACAGTTTTACAGCCAAAAGAGGAAAATGTAGGAAAATTGTGTGGTTTTTAGTGAAGAGCACCATGAGAGTAAGATATAGCCTCGTGGCTGTTTTCTCTCGATCTGTCATAAAGTAGACGAGACCATGCATTTCTTAACATTCAAATGTTTAGAAGAAAAAAAGGCATTAACATGAAGTATTGCATTTACAACTATTTAGTTAATGTTGTGAAACTCATAATGCTAGCATTTAGATATTATCAATTATAAGCTCTTGGTATGATGTTGCCTTGTACTTAATAAAGCCAAATCCTTTGAAACAGGGCCTGGCATTCACTAAGATACAAAAAATTGGATAAGACAGTTCTGACAAAGGCCAGTTTGTAAAAGAGCATTTTAGTGGAATGCAATCAGAAATGAACCAGAAAATTTTTATATCTACTACTATTAATTTTTCATTGAATTATAAAAAACAGTGCACATAAAAAGTGATAAAGAGTAGAATTGATTATGAATAATAACAAGAAACAAAGGAATAGAACTAAAAATTTGCTGCAAAGAAAATAGAGATCATTTTGAATACCAGGTCTATTTTTAATTCAAAGCCGCTAACTATACTCTTAACGATACACCTAATAGTGTAATGAAGAGTGCTGGACAAGTCACCTCTGAAGATAGTATTATGTGATCCAATGCATTGGAGGCATTTAGATGAAAAATCTAAGTATATTAGATTTAACAATATAGCAATTTGGATATTTTCAAGTTCACCCTAATAATTTGTAGAGGTGCTATTAGTTGATATCTTTGAAGTCCATGAGCTTTACCTGTCAAAGTTCCAATACCTTGGTGTATCTCATTTCCATCAAAGAGGATTCAGTAAGCTTTAAAATCAGCTGTTTGGGTGTAGTAAACACAAAATCTTGGCACGTAGGGATACGGCCCATCAAAGGGAATAGTTATTGGAATGCAGAACAGGCTAAAGAAATTATAGATAACTTACTTCGAACTCATTGCACGATAAATATACAGCTCGATATACACAGAGCATGCACTTGTGCTTATGGGAACCGTAGTGATTGTTACATCATGCTGATGGTTTAATACAAGCATCCCAGTAGCCGGCCTGGTTAGAGATGCAGTAGAGACTGAGTCTAGGTTAATATACTGTCTATGCAAGTATAAGTTCTGATAAGAAAGCAAATCTCTTCGTAAATTTTGATTCACCATTAAAAAGTGGAAATTTTATTACCTGATGTTTCCCATTCTATAAAGGTTAAAAAACTCAGAAGGCTGATACTTACGTGATATTAACAGTAGATGTGCTATCTTCAAAAACCAAGCCTGTCCTTGAAGCCTCTCCAAAATCCCAATTATAAGTGGCTCAAAATCATCAGTTCCATACAAAACCCACCAAAATCCCTACTGTCCCACTCCAGATACATCTTTTCACCCTTTCTCTCATCTTTAAAATTTATTAAATACAAATCTTCTCCAATAAATCTCTTCTCATCCGGGGTTTTGGGGTTTTGGGGTTTTGGGG